GGGGGGGGGGGGGGGGGGGGGGGGGGGGGGGGGGGGGGGGGGGGGGGGGGGGGGGGGGGGGGGGGGGGGGGGGGGGGGGGGGGGGGGGGGGGGGGGGCGATATAGGTGTGTGGGGGCTTACAAGGGACGAATAAACGAAGCACGTTTCGCGCTAAGAACCTATCGCAATTTAACAAACAGGAGGCGGGGGGGAGGGTATGGAACAACGCCCAAAGTTAATTGTGCCAAAAATTCTCCGCCGTAGCAACCAAGCCTACATGATTTCGTCCTGCTTTCCTTGAAACTGGAAGGAATAAACAGTCGAACCGCATCTCAAAGAACGACCAAGATTCCTGTACCGCGCATATGTTCGAGCTTGGAGTATGCCACTTGCCACGCAAACAGTCTCCCAAAAAACGACGGCGTTCCGCATACGGATACGATCGGACCCGGGGAAAAAACACAGCGTATTATCCTATTGGCCCACCTCGAGGACGAGTTCTTCGCACTTCACCGCCGCCGCCTCGCGCGAGTGGGTGCTCCGCGGAATCACAACGGTGAGAGTCTGCAACACCGCCGTAACGCGCACGCCCGTCTCTGCTTCCGCCTTGCCACCACCACCGCTACCATCAGCCCCGTCTGAAACTGGCGTTCCGACTCTCGCGGCACCGCCGCCACCCCGATCTGCCCTCGAATTCCCGTCGCCCCCATCTTCGGAGCCGACCACCGACCACTTGTCCGGCACCGCTTGGTCGTCCTCGCCCATCACCACAGCAACCGATTCATTCTCTGCTTCGCTCCCCGCAGTATCAACGGCGCCCCCACCACCCCCACCGCCACCGCCGAAACGCCGGGCCTCGGCAAACACCGGGCCCAGCCGGTCCGGGCCGAAGTACTTGGTGACTTCCGCCACGAACCTGTGCAGGAAGCAGACGCGAAGCCCGCGCACGGAGGCGATTATCTCCCTCCCTCCTCCGCCGCTCCCACGCCCGCGGGAGGTGTCCGGAGTGAGCTCCACCACAATAACCGGGAGCCGTTCCGCAGCCGCTGCCGCGGCCGCCGCTGCGGCCGCCGCCGCCGCCGCTGCGGCCGCTGCCGTCTCGTGCGCTCGCACGCCCCTGCTCGCAGACGACGACGCCCTGTGGTCTCCTGGCGCTGCTGCTGCGGCTGGCGGGGCCGCAGCATTGGCGGTGGCGTGAGACGCCGCGGTCGCGCCCGGGGCAGCCCCCTCGTGGGAGATGACTTGGTTGTGGAGCTGGCCGTCTGCCGTAAGGTCCAACAGCTCGAGGCCCTGCAGGCTGGCTCGCAGGTAGCCGAGGGCCGTGCGGTGCCGCCCGCCGTCGCGGGTCCACCCGGGCCACCCCGCCGTGGGCATCATCGATTTACTCTCCGCAGCAGCCGCGCCCGTGGACTCTTCTCCGGGACGGGGAGAAGTAGCAGCGGCGTTGGTCTCCCCAAGGTCGCGGAAGATGCAGGCTTTGATGTCGTCCAGGTCCCACCACTCGCTGCGGGAGGCCTCGAACACTAGCCCCGTCATCGACAGGCTCGCCAACGGCCGGCTCTCTAGCGAAAGCAGACACCGGAACTCGCGGACCTGCAGGTGCACCGAGGTGCTCACCGACGGCCGGAGCACGACCGGAGCGGACGGGCGACGACTACTAGCGGCCGCGACACGTTTCTCGCTGCCGGGCGGCCCGAAGCCGTCGTCTTGCGCCGGTCGTGCCAAGGCCGCCGCCGCCTCCGCCGCCGCGGCTTCGAGGGACGTCGCCGCCCTTGCCGCCGTCAAGAAACCGTTGGGAGCGGCCACGAATGATATCTGGTCGATCGACACCGACGCTCGGCGCTCCCGGTCCCGGCTAAGGCACTCCAGCAGGCCGGGTTCCGGCGGCGGGGCTGACCCTCGGGACGCCGACGCCGCGAGTCGTCCGACCGCGGCCACGACGTTCGGAGAGTCCCCGCCAGAGCCGAAAATGTGTCTGGTGATCGACAACAGGGGGCAAGCGCGTGGTTGATTCAAGCCATATTCAACTTTCGTGGCCAGCAACAGCAGCAGCGTCTATCGGGGGAAACCGCGTGACAACACTTGAAGCTTGACCGGCACACGCGAATCCGAACGAACATCTAGAAAACACCGAAACAAAGGCACCCACCCATCCACGGGACCAGCACAACGTCAAGTGGTCAAGTAAGAGAACGGCGGTGATTGATGGTGGCACTCAACACAACATTTCGACTGAGGTTATATCTCGAACGGGTAGTCCTTCTGTGAGGTTCTGTTTACTTTCTAGGAATCTCGCAACACGTGGTGAGTATCATCAGCGTTCGATTTCCCGTACCGTTTGTCACACGCTACGAAACTGATGAGCAGGGCGCTCGTCTCTCTCTTCTGATTCTCGGCCAGGGTGGCCGCCGCTGCCTCGATCCTCTCCCTCGCGCTCATCGCATCCCGCTCGTGGTCCCTTCGGGCCTGGTGGCGCTTGAGACGTGACACGGACACCCTCGCGGGAACGCTGCTCTTCTTGTTGCTCGCCGCCCCTTCCGCAGCAGTGCTAGCGTCGTCCCCAGAACCCTTGGACGTGTTGCCGTTGCCTGCGCTGCGTTTTCCGTCCTCTCCGCCGTCGCCGAGGTCGATTCTACCGGCTGAGAGGACGCGGATGCCGTCCGAGTCGCGCACGATGATAGCCTCGGCGGTAGCGGTAAGCCGTGTGTCGTACGTCAGACGCGTCAGCGCGAGCGTGAGTCCGGACGCCTGCATGCCGAGAAAAAGAGGCCGCCGGAGATGGTAACCGTGCGCGTGCCGAGGGAATTGCGTAAGGGTCGGTGGTACCCTGACCGGGGAGAAACTTTCGTCGATCGATGACCTTGCAAAACCCGAAGCTATTTAGACACATATTTAGCAAGGACTATATCGAAAATACAAATGTGTCGTGACACGGCTACGGTAGCAGAATTTACGCAATTCCTCTCGAGCGTGCCAAACAGCGTGGTTCACCAACTCCTGGAGCAAACACGTACCAAACACACGCACGTCCTCCAACGCTCATACAACCTACCTCGACTGCCGCAATGTCCAGCAAGACCGGCTCCTCGCCTACGGCTCCGTCGCCGCCGCTCCCTCTTCCTGCTTCCGCAGGGACGGACGCGTCGGAAAGCACGGCCATCCCGGCCTCTACCAACTCCCTCACGTCGGCTGGCTCCCCCGGGGCATCAGCCTCCTCGACGGTGTCCCTTCCCGGCATCGTCGTTTCCTGCTGCTGCTGTGCTTGTCCAGACCGGCCCGGCATCGATGCCGGGTACTGCAAGAACGCCGACTCTTTGCCGCTCCCCTCGTGCCCCGCCGCCGCCGTCGCCGCCGGATCCCGGATCCTCGCGGTCGTCTCCAGGAGCGCCTCCACGACGCCGTCCAGGGAGCCCTGGTCGTACCCCAGCGCCCCCATCTCGTCCCGGAACAGGCGGCAAGCTTGCCGGTACCCGGTCGACGCCGCCGCCGGGTGCACGCGCTCGACGAGCTGTCGAGCCACCCGCCGGACGCACCGCCGAGCCCTCTCCGCCCGAGCACCGCCGTGGCGGCGCGAATCCTTCGCCGAGGACGGTGCTGTCACCCCCACCCCCTGTGGGTGGGCCCCCTCGCTATCGTTATTGCGTTGCCCGTGGTCGCTGCTGCTGTTGCTGCTGGGGCCGACGTCGTCGTCGTTGCGGAGCCCCCTCGACAACACCCTCGCCTGCACCCCGGCAAGCGAGACGTCCAGGCGAAGGGTGGTGAGCCCGCTGAGCAGCGCCAGCCGCGGCAGCGGGACGGCGCCGGACCAGTTGTTCGCGACCCCCGTGCCCACCCTCGTCGTCGCGGAGGTGGCGCAGCTGGCGACGATCCTGGGGCTCGCCGCTCGGTCGCCTCTTCTTCTTCCCCGCCTGGTGGCGTTGTGTTGCGCCCCTACTCCCCAAGGAGGTGGCAAAATCTGCGGAGCAGGGATGCAATCTTCCATGCCCTCCGTGGAGAGGCCCCTTGAGAATGCTGGCGGCGATGGTGCCGGCGGCACTGCCACGGCGCGCTTGAGGGACAGCGTCAGCAGTGTGATTGCCGCCACGGCCTCCTTGGACACCTACATTTTTCGCGCAAGGATTCGATAGAAAAGCGTGAGGTCGGTCTACACCCAAGAGCGAAAGACAGCAGCCCTGCCAAGGCATCCACCTAAGAATCATGCACACAAGGACTAGGACGGCCCCAACAACTCATCACACGCGGGCCCTCGTTCCCTTACCCGCGACAACCATGGTTAAGGGCCAAAGGAGAAAAAAGAACATTTGCGTACAACATGTAGCTGTGCTAAAACAAGCTCACCTCCACCCTGATACGAGACAGCATGGCATCCGCGCGCGTGCCGGGCTGCCTGGGGTTTCCCACCACCGCGCACCGCGTCACCAGCAGCTCGCCCGTCCACCCCTCGTCGGTATTCTCTTGTCCCCCAAGTACCACCGGGGTGCGCCGCCGCCGCCGTTGCACGGGCGCCTCCTCACCGGCGTCCTCGCCTGGCCCCTCCTCCGTCACGCCCAGAGACAGGGACAAATCGGCAACTCGAAAGTAGTGAGGGTCCGACAGGGGCAGCCGGAGCGACTGCACGATGGCCAGGGCCCCCCCGCACGGGCGCGGCCCCGGCCCGCCGCCCCAGTGCGTCGCCCTGGCGCCCTCGTGCGGGGCCGCCGGCTGCCCTGCGCTATCTACCGGCTCGGTTGCTGAGGTCGGCGTCTGGGGCGGAGACAAGCGCTGCGGGCCGCCACCGCCGCCGCCGGGAGCACTGCTGTCATAGCCCGCAGTTCGCCTCTTTCCGAGGTTCAGAACCTCTTCGCGGTCGTCGCCACCGCTGTCACCACCCACCTCCTTGCCGGTCTTCTCTTGAGGCGCAGATGACGGCGGCGGCGGAGGCGGACCCCGCGACGATGACGAAGAGGTCAGAGGAGGTAAGCGCGGCGAGACTATCGTCGACTCGCCGCCCTCGGCGTGCCCAAGGAGATACCTCCCCTTCTGGTAGATGCAGCACCCTACCGTCAGCTCCAAGCACGTGTGGGGGCTCCTTCTTCCGGAAGCCCCCCCTGCATTGGCGGTTTCCGCCACAAACGGACCCGCTGTGTTGTCCTCCGCCCTGACCCCGCTGGGCAACCCCCCGACCCCCGAGCGCCAGCTAGGAGACTGGCGTCGAACAGCACTAGTTCCAGAGGAGAGCGGCGGCGGCGGCGGCTCAAGCTCGAAGCGGATGGCGAATCCCGCCGCGCGAACGTCCACGTCTTTCGTGCCGCGAGCGTGCAGGACGTCGGACACGTGGCCCTTGGTGGAGCAGGCGCGGCAGCCCGCGGCCAGAACGCGGAGGTTGTCGAGTTCGGGGGACCTGGACGGTAGCAGCAACCCTGGTGTCAATACCTGCAGCATTGCAACAAGCAAAAACGGGGAGGTAGGTAGGGAGGTAGGTAGGTCAGATCTGAACAAGGACCCCATCAATGCAACAGAAAACGGGGGGCAAAGCGTGACCGGTCCGTCCCACAAGGTGGCTGGCAGCTGTATGTGCCGCGTACCGCGCGCTGCGGTGTCAGTGGCATCAGAGCCTACGGCAGTACTGCGGCTGTGTGTGGTGTCTCTCATAATTAACATCGATCGCGCTAACCGGCTGACCAATGAAAAGTCGTCAGTCTCAGGGCGGGTAAAAACCAGGAACACTTGTAAATGCCATTAACTGGGACCCCGTGATGGGGCGGCATGGGGTAGACTAACCTATTCTCCGGATCAAAGACAGAAATGGTAGCAGCAGAAGAAAACTGCACATGTCTACAAAGGCTGATATCTGTGCGCGCGCGCGTCACGGTGCACAGCAACAAATTCGCCGAGGCTCCATTCCCACCTTGGACGATTGTGCGAAGTCCGCTAACGCTGAGAGCAGCGGGGGCGAGACCGTGAGCTCCACGTGGGCCATACGCGCCACGAGTTCGAGGTTCATCGAATACACCTGTTTGGACCCACGCAGGACAAGGGAGGGTTGGCCCACAGCGAAATCCTTGACAGTTAAAATGAATGAAGTGGCAGGACGATGGCATTAACCTAGGGAGTAGTACCTGATCAGACCGGAAGCAATTCAAGGGGAGTGAACAGCTGTGAAACATATAAAAAAAAAAAACACTCTTGAGCACGACAATTGAAACCTTCAACGAGCCCTGACAATCATCTGCTTACGGTTGTGCTGGGATTCCTCCATGCCCGTTATAGACACAGGTACTCGGTGTCTCTGCATACGAAGCACGATACATAATACTCTTCAAGTTCTGCGTCACGCCTACCCAAATACGAGAGAGACACACAAACAAGACACCAACAGAAAACATCCTTGCCTTGCTCTTCAGCAGCTTCGCGCCGTCCCCCTGCTCCTCCATTTCCACCTCACCCGCCACGCTGGCCAGACTCGCCTTCCGGTCCGTCCTCTTCACGTCCATGAAAATGTTCAGGGCTGACTCTGGGCACCAAACGAGTTTACAAATTTGCGAGGCAGGCGCGTGCAAATCAGGCACGGGCGACAGCAACCCGGCCGGTGGTGCGTGCCAGGAACAGCCCACGCTCGGTTGAAACTCCGTTGCGACGATTTGAGTCTCTTGCTGGCGTAGTCCTCAGCGGAAAACTCGTTGTTTCGTTCTTAACCGATTGGTGGTATGTGTTAACACAAAGCGATAGTATCCTCATATGTAACCGTCAGCAGTGATGAATATGGCCACGAACAACGAACGAGAGGCAGTCGTTCCGGTGATGGGGAAGCTGACAACACCCTTTAGGGGCTACACAGACGGCGATAGGACAGGCCTGCTTGAGCAGCAGGGACTGACCAACGCGACAAAGGTCTCCACCCGCCTTCTAGAACGGGCCAGGCAGACGAACCCCGAACGCTCTCGCCAAAGGATAACGCGGCTGGAGCATACAACCTACGACAAACGCAGGGACGAATATTGCGTACGAAGAACACAGCAGATGTGGCAACCCTACCTACCCCCTACAGCCACAACCATAGCCTTCCCCAGACTCAACCACAGGCGTCAAGAGAGAACGAAGACAAAGCTGCTGCTGTGCGGTCTCGCCAAAAATAAACAATCCCGCACCTTCGCCGTGGTTGATCGATTTCCCGCCTCCGTCCCCGCCGCTCCCCCCTCCCCAGAGAACCGACGGGTTGATCGTCAAGCAAGTGATCCCACCCACCCCGGTCGCTTCCACCGCGTGAACCGAGCCGCTCATCACGAAGCCCTTCTCGGTGCGGATGCCCATCCGAACGCGCGCCCGGGATATCACAAGCCGGAGCACGACCGCCTCGCCGCTTCCTCTGTCGGTTCGCCGCGCCGGGGGGGGCGGCAAAGCAGGATGGGCCCCACCCCCAGGGGACGGGGAAGGGCCAGGCGCGATCTTCTCCTTCCGAGCTCCTCGCGGCGGGGGCTGGGACAACTGTACGCTTGCCTCTTTGACGTCTATTTGCCAAGAAAACCAAACCTGTGGTTGTTGTTGCCACCACCGGACGAGAAAGGACGGATTCGTCACACAGACGGGCAAGGGGCGTTGTACGGACCAATGTAAGTACCCGAAGTCGTTTTCACCGCCGAAAGAGTATCGGTTTTGCAAGACCAAGCACTGCTGTAGCCGCCCTTGGAGCGACGGGGCGAGGGGGAAGAGGAGCTACCATATGACCTCGGTTGGGTGTCATCGAGGAACGGTCTCAACGAAAACAAAATGCCCTCGAAACACACCCAACAAACACAAAATAGATACATGGGGTGGTGAAAACTGTTTCCTTTGTGTCTGCAATAAATAACGCCTTCGGATATTACACGACTGCTGGTGTAACAGCGAGGACGAGAGGACGTTTCTGACACAGCAGCAACTATTTCTCTTTCGAGTGATTCACCTGATTTCGAGTGTCTGGGTCTTCTTCACCTTCCGCCGCCAATTCAGCCTCCACCCAGTGACGCTGAAACAAATTAGCCGCCTGGCAATACAGAGACAAGACAGGAAAGATGATAATCGCGTAAGAAAAAAATGCTCAAGTCATAGTCATGTGCATGTCGGCCACATCATCTTACTCATCGTCTCGGGGATGAACCAGACACAAACACACCATGGTCGAGGGTGCGTCGGCTGCAGCAATGTCCTCGCCAACACAAAACTCCGTACACCGAATTTGTGACGCCCCGCCAAATACCCAGAGCCAGCACGACCACCACTTCACGGACATCAAATGGAACAAAACTACTGGGATCACCTACGCACAGAAAAGAAAGTTGCCCACGAAAGGAGACCAGGCAGGGGGCACGCAGACCCTAGCCCTAACCCGAACCCTAACTTGACCGATTCTACACTTTATCCAGTATGCCTGCTTACTTCGAAAAACCTGCGTACACTACCGTACCACACACGCAAGCTACTGCCCCTTGCTCCAAACAAACATTGATTCCGGGCCCATGCCCCCTCCGCACCTGCCCCAACTCGGCCGCGTTAATCCCCGTCCAGGCCGAAAAGTCCACTCTGTCCATCTCGGAGACAGCGACAGGGGTAGACCCGCCCTCATCTCCTGGCATCCCCCCTGTCATGGGGGGGGACGGCGAAGACGATGATCGGTTCAACCCGACCGATTGACGTCCCATGTCGGGTGGGTTTTTCATGGCCTGGCCGGGGGGCGCCCTGCGTACGACAAGACCATGAAGGAGCACAAGGCACAAGTAACACCATGAACGCGGCGAAGGAGCACAACACATAAAAAAACATCATGAACGTCAAGCAGCACAAAACATAATGAGACGGGGAGGAATCTCCCATAAAGGGTCGGCGCGTTGTACAGTGTCTACGGCAAGCCCCGGACAGGGGCCACGGGAACAAACGAATCAACGAACGCACATTTTCACCAACAATCCGCTGGAACCGATATGTTCATCATCATCGGCCGGTTAGGGCGGTCAATGTCAATCCGAATGAGGACACACATCCAAACACCCACGGACACCGCTGTGCTAGTAGTCTGTAGGCGACTCTTTCGGTGATACTTGAAGGACATGGGGCACCGTCAAATCATGTACTTCTCGTCAAAAAAAAAATAGCGCTACACGCCGAACATGGCCGCTTACAAAACACAGAGATGGCGAAGCAGTACACAGCCCACCTGGGAGCGGCAGCTGAAGTTCCCGCAAGCCACTGAAAAGTACGCCCCACTACCCCAGCCGGGGCCTGTCCAGCGACTCCCTTTTCGATGTTCTTCCTGGACGCGCGAGCAGAAATAAAACGATTGGTTCGGCGAGGAGCGTAAGGACGAAAAATCAAGGTGTTGGCGTTGCGAGGTGGGATCCGATGTCTGTTTTTGACAGACAGTGGCATGAGCCGCATGTCCGAACAAGGCGGTCTGGAAAGGAAAATCGCAACCGCGACATCGTGCCAAGCTCGCTCCATCGCGCCCCTACACACAGACCTGCCGTGCGCCCTACTTTCGGCGACGTAGAGCTGAGGTCGTGCCACACAGCACTTTCAAACGCGTTGATGCGACGACTACTAACACACGCACTGTTGCCACGTGCTCATCAACGGACATGCCACGTGCTCAACGGACAAGGGAGGGAACTCCTGTTCTACTCCTTAGAAGGCCAAGCGAAACACACAATCGCTGCCGATTCGTCCGTGTATCGCATGCAGAAAAGTGGAGTTGTTTCTCTCTTACCTAGCCACGTCTCTGTAAACGAGGATCTCCTCGACGGAAAGCTCCATCTCCAGTGCCAACATCGCTCTCATTTCCACCTCGGAGACCTGCGGAAAACAACAAAAGAGCGCACAAGGGTAATCCGGAAGATGTTTGAATCGAGACGACGGACGCCGAATACTCTGCAAACAACAACAGCGATGAATGAGACGCCCTCCGAATGCTCTGCGAACAACAACAGCGCGCACGAGAGTGAGCAGGAAGATGTTGAAAGGGATCACCTCCGAACCCAACCCTTGTAGTCGTTCACCACGGGAAACGTCTCGCGCCACGCACCGATAATTCTGGTAGCAGCCCCTACTCTCCTTACCCGATACCCCAATGCTCACCAGAGGAGCGGACACGAAGATGGGGCACCTTGCTGCCCCCCGCAAGGCCTATCCATACCATGGTATAACGTACCATATATGCATGCGGCACAACCCAACGAACTCGGAACCACACAGGGCAACAAGCAAACGTGATTCCAAGCCCACTGTAATAGGACAAGAGTCTTACCGCTCTACGCGTGAAAAGAAGCCGCCCCCCCCCCGCCCCGCCCGGCCCACCTGTAACTCTCTCTGAGCTGCGGTGCTGTGATGTTTCCGCACCAACGCCCCTCTGCCAAACCGCGTCCGAATCTGCTCCGCGAGCTTGCGAATCTCCGCCGAGCTTCCCCCAACCCAATTCGTGTCCCAGTGCTCTTCGCCGCCCTCATGGCCGTCGCCGCTGGCCTTGACCGAAGCGCCCTCGCCGTCGGCGGACGGCCCACTCGCGAGCAGCAACGACTCCTCCGGCAAGCCCATCCCCCCGCCGTCCAAGCTCCCGCGCAACCCAGAACCCCCCGTCGCGGGAATCTTCTTCCCCCCTCGTGGCATCACCACCCCTTCGTCGCTAGACTCGCGGCGAGCAGAGCGAGGAGGTGTGTTGCGGGCGGTCGTTACCGGTGCTGGCGCCGCCGTTGCTCGGGCCGTCGTGGCGTGGAGAGGGCGCATCCCCACGGTCAGCAGGCGGCGGTAGACGGACATGTACCGGGACAGCAGCCGCACGCGAGAGATGAGCCCCTGCCAGGTGAGGCTTGGCCCCGCGGAACCCCTGTGAGCGTCCCGCCGCTGCTCGATCATCACGCACCTGATCGTGCGAGCGCACGAGCAGGTGGTAGAGAATTAATCGACGTAGATCGGGACTGACGGCGGGGATACTTTTGACGATAGTGAGACAGGTTCTTCCCGGATAGCGGAACAGGATTTATTCTTTCGCTCGCGGTCATCGAGGGGCGGGGCTGAAGCAACCGATCTGGGACCTTTCCGTGAAACAAAAGTAAATGCGAAGCATCTACTGCCGGTCAAGTACCCCCTTCGTCTCCCCACAGAAACAACTAACCCAGAAGGCAAGAGTGGCCGAATGGCAGGAGGAAGGCCCAGCCTCCTCGTTCCCATCATTCCCGGCAACAACACTGCTTTCGGACCACCCTTGTGTGACAACGGCGCTCACCTGATGGCGTACCGCCACCACGCCTCCGGGTCGTCCAAAACCGAAGTGGTCGGCCGCATCGTCCGGAACTTAAACCTTCGGTGCGACATCGTCAGGGCGCTGACCGCCGCATTGAGCACGGCGTACTGCCGGACGTCGACCTGCAACGCGACCGCCTCCACGTCCAGCGACACGGACACGAGGGGCGGCGGATCAACTGCTCCCCCCCGGCCACCGTTAACGCCTCTACCGCCGGTAGGAACATCCTCGCTGTCGACCGCCCCCGTTCTTCCGACGCCTTCGGGCACGGGCACCGTCACGGGCATCTCGCCGGCGGCGGCGGCAGCCGCGACGACACGGTCTCGGATCACGAGCACTCCGCGCGCTCTAAGCGGCCGGAGGATGAAAACCGGCGAGGTATCGCTTCTGCATCTCGTGCCGTGCTCGCCGCCGCCGTTCTGGGCGGCAGGCCACGAATCGCCCGCGGGTCCCGTTGCGGGCGACGCACCGGCAACATCCGCGCAGGCATCGGAAGCCACGACGTGGAACGGTGGTGCTGGGCGCAGGCCCGGAACGCCGCTGGTGGAGCTTTGCTCGCTGCCGCGGCCGTCGTCGTCATCGTGTTCCGACTGGATGTCTTCCAACCAGTCCGCGGTGCTCTCCTTCGTGTACGCCACGAGGTTATCGAGCGCTATGTCCTTGCTTACTCCCGCCGTCTCCGGAGCAGTCGGAACGCCCCCGCTCCTTGGCCTCGCCCTCGGACTAGTGGCGGCGGCGGCGGCGGCGGCGGCGGCGCCGCCGCCCTCACCACCTACACCACCACCGCCGTCGTCGCTACCGCTACCGCCGCCGCGAGAGGGCGAAGCAGCGGAGCTGGTCGCCGGTGCCGCCACCGCTGATGCGACGGTCGGCGCGACGGACAAACGGCCGAGGTACACCCCGACGGCGCTCGGGCTCGGCGCCGGGCACGTCTCCGCCGACAGCGGGGACTGGACGGGGGACGTTTGGGCGTGCTCCGCTTGCAACCACACCACGTGCACGTTCTCCACCTGGAAATACCAAACGCGAGTCCGTGATGAAACGCGTGCCGTGGCGAAAGAGAGGGAGAGGGAGACACAGACCACGCAACGTCACAACATAGGATTCAGGAGGTCGGACGGGGCACACGCAGACGGTAGGGAATACGTGGGTACGCGGGGTGTTCTGGGTTGCAGGGCTCGACGTGGATGACCGGCGCCGGTCATCCTTTTGTCGGGGCGCGTTGGCCCTTGCGGCAGCGCCACTCGGGAAACTTTCGTGCTTTCTGCTCGTTAACCTCCACGTCGTCACCTCTATCGACCAGGTTTTTCAGTGCCACTTCTTCGCTCTAGAGTTTTGCCTACACGTCATGTGTGACCTCAACGAGCACCCAATAGACATGCCCAGCAGGACAACTGCAAAGACAAAAACGGCACCGCCCGCTTGCCAACCACAAGAAACTCGTCCGCTGACACCGCTCACCGTTACGGAGAGCTTCCGCACGATGCGCGCCATGAACGAACTCGCGAGGAAGGACCCGAATCTGGCCCCCCACCCTGCCTTCGCCCCCACTCCGGCCAACTGCGCCTCTGCATTTGCGAGTAGCTCCTACGGTACAAGAAACGCGTCGTATGCGCATGCATACGTAAGAGAAATTCAAGATCACGTGCAAAGCATCGGGGTGGCGGATAAATATCTTCCAGATGGGTGAGATTGAGATTGAACAGCACCGCCATGCGCAGTGAAGCGAGCATCGGGGCACTCGTGGAATCTGACGGCGAGAACACTACAAGGTAAGCTTGCTTGGCCGGCAGCATGAGAGAGCATCAAGACAAATCCAAAGGTTGCTCATTTGACATGTCAAAGCCGCGCATGGAGCTCGACGGTAATGCTGTTGGACGCAGAGAGTGCATGATGGCACAACAGCAGGCGTACAGCAGTACCTACCTGCTTCTTTGCAAAAATGGCGTCTCGCAGCCCCCGCTCTATCTTGTCGTCGTAATTGGCGCTCCCCAGCGGCTCCAGCACAAGGGTAACGCCAGAAACTTGCAAGCTTGCCTTCATTCTACCGAAGCTCTTCCATGGCACCTGTTAGTGCAACAAAGCAAGCCCACACGTGGTATGTAAGGCCGCTGGTTGTCATGCACTACACAAGGAAAAGTTGCGGGTGCTTTTACCCCCCTCCAAACACGAGGCTGAGTCAAACCGGCCATCTAGGGTCGGGGAGCAGATACGTCGGGCAGGGCACGCTGCCATGGAGCATATCGCCGCCAAGTCAACTTGGATGCGTCTGTTGTATTCGTTTCCCGCACCAATTGGGTCAATAAAATCGAACCATCTACAGGTTCCCAAATGCATGACCACCGTAGAAAGACCATCTCGAGTCATCGGCCCCATGCAAAGTGGTGTCTGCTGAGCAAACCGAGAAACATGGGCAGAGGGAAACACAGCTAACTGCCTGGCTGGCCGAAAGCCGCACGTGCCTGTATTCTGACGAGTTCCACGGACCCTTGCTTAAGCACGACTGGTAGATGAAGCTTGCGCGAAATGTCTGTCCGCACTTGCAAGTCGCGCAGCACCAAATCTCCGCTCCACAACCCGGCCTGTTTTTGGTGGGGACACCGCCCAGTAGGGAAGATAATCGGAGACGGGCAACGGCAAGAAAGTCGCATGAGAGGAAGAACCTTGACGTTTGCAGCAGAAGCTGAGGCGCTCATCGCCGTAGTCAAGCGTGTTATTAGTGTTCGCACGTGCTGCGATGTAATCGCCGAGACGTGCTCTGCTACGCGGGCTTGGGCATTACCGTACGAGACGATACATACACAACGGGCCCAGAGAAAAGAAACGTCAAAATCGGGTCGAGGCTCAAGGTTTCATATTTCGTCGCCACTGCTGTTGAGCGCAGGTTGTTAAATGGAATCAGTGTAGGAAGCAGTCTTCTTTTTCGCGAAATTTTGAGCTTCAGATCTAATGCTGTGAGCGCTGATTAATTAAGTTGGGAGTGTTTTGTTTTGGCATTGGGTGGTGATTAGTTTAGACTTTGGTTTTGGGCACGCAGTACTCTCAACGAGAGGCTGCTGTGAGACTATGTTTACTTTCTAAACAAGTACTAGTACTTATAATGGCTGTAAGCCTGCGTGACTCACACAACATATATTTGAAGGGGACAGCGTATTGGTATGCCTTCCGCATGTGTGAGAACCGAATGCAATCGCGTAGTTTGCATCTTTGGGCTAAAATGACACGTCTCGATTCTTCATACACACGCCCCCCTCCACAAGCGGATTGTGCATCCAGCGTAGACTAGTCTACAAGTAATGAACTAGCAGCAGTAGACTAAAGTATATCGTATTGCACATAGATCTATTCAGCTACAAACGTCGAGTTACACTGGCAAAAGCTGTTACCACCAAATTCACGCCCATCTAATCTATCCCTTAACGTCCGAACACCGGCACGGCCGTTTTGCTCTAAAAACAGACAGCAGTCATGCCACGCCCTGTGATGCTGTGATACTTGCTGCACCCTCCGCCCCCCCCCGCGCGTGGTTACTTCTCCAAAAGGGTCCGAGTATATGAAAATGGTCCAACGTGTGAAGACCTCCTACGTTAACAGATATACTGCTGTGTCTAAGCACTCACCCCCAGCGAATCGAAGTCCACGTTGTGGACGTACTCGCTCAGCTTCCCTGCAAGCCACTGAGGGATAACTCTGAAGAGATTCATCTACAGGCCCAGCGCTTTCCGCCTCCTCAGGCTGACGATAGCACAGCTGCTGCTGCTGTAAAGGAGAGGCCGGTTCCCCGGTCTGCAGAGACAGACTAGAGAGAAAACTCTCTGCTGCTGTGTCTAACAACAAACTGGTGCTTTTTTTGTCTAGATCGCTTCCAGAATGTCTGCCGTCCAGGTCGACCATTTCAGACCGACAGCATAAACCGAGCGTCACCTCTTGGGCACACACGTTTCATCGACTCGTGAATTGCTGCGTGGTGGTAGCAATGGTACACCAGCAGCAGACGTCTGCGATGTGTGTTGGGATTGCTGGCTTCCAGCTTCTGTCTTGCTCCTGGGTTGCTCCAAGTTTGGCGGCAACGCACAATGATTTATTTCCCCGCAAGTTGCAAGTAGGGGGGGGCTCCGTTGAATGTGAAGTTTGGGAGGAGGCGGGCAGGAAGGAGGCCAGAACCACGTGCCAGCCAACAGCTCCGTTCCGAGAGGTGTGCAAGGCAGCGAGGAGAGGCGCGCGACCTACGTTCGCCATCTCTGTGTAGCTGCAGCTGACGGAAAGCTTGGCCTCAACGCTTGAGAGGCCAGGTGTCTCTTTTGGGATCAAGTTTCTCGTGCCAACGGGCTGCCTGTATAAGCCGCGCACAAGGCGAAAACAGGCCGCCGCTTCTCTCCCGCTCTCTGCGACGGAGGGCGCCTTCTCGAACCGCAGTTGTTTCGGTTGACGAGAGACTGGGGGACGGACAGACAGGTTGCGTGAGGGCTAGGAGAAGTCCATAAATGGCGGAGAGCGGAACCATGGCCGGAGCGTCCTCCGATTTCAACGAAGACTGGGAAGACTGGGACCCGTCCCAGGGCAACTTTTTGCACCACATGGTGGCGGGCTCGATCGCGGGTATCACGGAGCACACCGTCATGTACCCGGTGGACACCTTCAAGACCTACGTGCAGTGCATGCGTGAGTGCCCCGAGGCCGTGGCAGGGAGGAGGGTGATGGAGATGGTGCGTGGGCAGGGCATGCTCCGGCTCTGGCGAGGAGTTGGCACAATGTTCACGGGCTGTGTGCCGGCACACGCTCTCTACTTCAGCGTCCTCGAGAATTGCAAGGTAAATTATCTACCAGCAGAGAGGGACGCATCTACGATGTAAATCCGCCGAGCCTTTTTGACAGCAGTAATTCGTGGCCAAGCAAGACTGACCGAAGGACCGGTTGCGTCGGTTTTCTTTTGTGGTGCTGTTGTAGCTGCACGACACGTGAGGGTGGTGCTCTGGGTCACATGTCTAGAGCAACGCTCCGCCCTGACTGCTTCCGTGGTTGTATTTTAGTTTTTTTGAAAAATGACGCCAGGCATATCATCTATATGCATACGTTGGAGACCAAACCACGCACAAGGTCTGATTTCCAACCAAATTCAGGAAGTTCGGTGGCACTAACTGACACCCGGCAGATCGAGTAGAGACTCCTTGAATTCCTCATCGTTGTATACGGGTCATGTGTCTCCGATAGTGTTGGGTATCTATGCAATACTAGATTCGATATGATATCGACCGCCTTTTGACCGCGAAGCCGTCGGTATGTCCGTATCGATACATCGATTTCGATTTGGGCGAGCCGTTGGTCGGCGCAGCGAGCCGGCGAAGCCCAAGCGACCCCCCCTCTGCTGGTGAGGGGGCGCCGCTGGAGGCGCCGCCGTAGGCAAATAAAAGAAGCAAATTCACTTCAGTTGCCATCAATATCACCGCAACACAGACCTCCCGGCAATGCAGCCAACTGTTCAACAGAAAAAGAAAAAGTATTCGTACAAATTGTTGGTGTTTCAAAAAGTACATACAGTTCATCATTCCAACTATTGGCACAGCGCTGTTGCTTCAATGCTCAGTGGTGTCGTACACCATAAAAGAAACAATCTTGTCGCAAAAGCTAAGCTCTCACAATGAGAGATGGATTGAGAGCAGAGTATGTAGCTGCCGCTGCTACCCACCTACCGCTAAATGCACGCGTTTCGTGAACTCCTTCACGGCGTGCATCTGATGCGTGCTGCGTGCTGTGCAGCTGTGGGGGTACCGTATGGACATCGGGGGTTCCGTGGAGGTTTTATGGATTAAGCGCATCCATATCGAAATATTGGAATATCGTTAAGGCCATTTTTTTTCGATTCCCGATATCGATGCGATACGTTGATACGACATACCGAGATATTGATAAGAATCGATACGATCTCCTCCACTAGTCTCCTATTTAGTTCTGCTTGCTAGGAATCATTTTGCTCTCATCGTGGAAAGCATCGGTCACTTTTGTACGCCCTCACACTCCTCGCACTTGTTTTATCTGGGTAGCAATTCTCGGCGCCAAGCAAAGGGGCGTTCCGCATGGTGTCCGCGAGATATTGCGTGCATCTTGATTCCTTCCCATTCAGGAAAGCCCACCATTTTCTGAGCACCAATTTGCACCCAGCCTGCGGGACTCACGCACCGATCAAAGAACGTCCACAGTGTACAAGCACATCAACGTCTCTTGATCTCCCGCTCCCCGAGACGCTCCATGGGTTAGAGAGTTGTCTTTGAGGGTTGTCTTTTATCACCACACTTCAGTACCGCTGGCGCAATTGAACCGCAAGGGCGACCAGCAGCATGTCGAGCAGTGCCTCTTGCCCACCTAGATAGTAGTCTAATGACACAGATTGTTTGCTAATTGTTTATTCTCCTGTGTGGTCTCTCAAACCTAACAGTAGGGAACACGACCTAAATAGGCACGTGATCCTGACAAGCATCCTCGAGTTATTTTCGCCACAAAGATTCTCCTCGGATAGAGTCAAGGACGGGTCTTTGGATCGTTCTTTTTCTCCCCCATGAAACTCAAAGGTTACGTTTGTGTAAAACTGCAGCCCTGAGCGACATGCATGCACACAGGCTCGTATGTGCGAGGGAGCACGTACAGGAACAACATTCCAGCAGACGACTTTGCACCCTAACATTCGAGAGCATAGCAGTAGTTTCCCCCCTTCAGTCGGACTCAACGTAACGCTTACCCGACGCGCGATTGTCGAGAACTGATCATCACGGCCTACATAGAACGCTCGCGGAATGTCAAAAGAGATTGCTGTCAAGTGGATGCAGCCACTAAATGGCACTGCAGCAGTGTCTTCCTTCTCCACTTGTGTGCGACCTTCCTACCTCTTGTGTGATCCCGGCTGATACATAAAAACGTTTACACCACGAGGTGTATAGACTAGCGCCAACACACGCACACCCGTTGACGTTTATGCCCGACTTTTCCCTCATCTCTGCACCGTCTCCGCAGGACCGCCTGGGTGTCAACCAACCCGGGCATCAGCCGGCGGGGGCAGCCGTCGCAGGCGCGGCGGCGACGGTTTTTCACGACGCGGTGATGACCCCAATGGACGTCGTCAAGCAGCGCCTGCAGCTGGGCTACCACAAGGGGATGCTGGACTGCGTGTTGACTATCCAGCGGACGGAAGGGACGCAGGTGTGTCTGCGTGCCTGTTCATTGTTCAAGTGAAATTCAATACTAGTGGACGTACTAAATTTTTGTCGCCGCCGCACTAACTATACTTCTCTCTTGTTTGTAGCGGGACACAGGCTGCATGTACAGTCCTCGAACGTGGATGAAAGGATTCTGTCAATTTCAAGCGAGTAGCTGGAGAACGAGGACGTTCGAGTGGAGGCGGTATTCGACCCTACTCAAACTGAAAATCTCTTGGGGTGGACCAAGGCTTGGCGCTGGTCGGTCGGCATCATGGATTGAAGCTTGCCGCCATGTATCAGAGTACCGCTCGCTCATGTCCCCGCTGTTTTGCCCCAACATTGGCACCTGAACCCTAAATTTGCACAACCGTCGTTGCTGCCCCCGCCTGGGAACCAGGCTTTTTATCGAAGTTTCCCGACGACGTTGTTCATGAACATCCCGTACGGGTGCGTCATGGTGGCCGTGAACGAGAGCCTGAAGCGCGTCATGCGTCCGGCGGGTGACTACGACGCAAAGACCTTCCTCCTTGCCGGGAGCGGCGCCGGTGCCATCGCGGCGGTGGCCACGAACCCCCTCGACGTCGTCAAGACGCGCTTACAGACGCAAGCGTTCCGGGGTGTAGCGGCGCCGCAAGCAGCGCGCTCGGAAGGCTTCGCAGCGCCCAAGGAAGGGGCAGCGGTAGGGGGGAGGGGAGGGATTGTTCTACCGCAGTTCTTGCGAGCGAGCGGGGGAGCGGCGGGGGGG